TCGGGTCTTCGGATCCTTGGTCTCCCCTCCCCTTCTCCTCCCTCCTCCGCCTCTCCTCCTGTCTACGGTCCCACGTTTCCTCCTCCTGACTCCTCCCCCGCTGTTTTCCCCAGTTCTCCGCCCTTGTCCTCTTCTCCTCCGTCTCGTTCTTGGGCTACTCGTCGCTCCCCTCGTGCTCGTCCCTCGTCTCCTGTTCCCTTCACTGACCTTCGTACTGCCTTCCTTCTTTCTAGTCCACCTCGTCCGTCTCAGTCTGTGCTTCCGTCTCCTCCTGAGTCGGCCCTCACTGTGTCGCTCCCTACTCCTGTCAGTGACTACTACCGCACGTACCGTCCTGTTCTCTCTCGTGTTCTCGCCTCTCTTGTTACTCACCCTCGTGCCTCTGTGTCCTCTGTGTCCGCTCTTACTGCCGCAGTTACTGACTTTGCCTCTACCCGCCGCCTTGACTACGCCACCACGCTTGTGGCTGCTCCTCCTACCAGTCCTCTGGCCGTCGGGGGTGTGTCTGCCCTTGGCTGTGACGCCCTAGAGGACAGGCAGTTTGAGCTAGAGTTCCTGGCGGCCGCTTCCCCTCATCTCTGTGCCATGCTCCTCGCCCCTGAGGGTGACCCTGACGCCCTTGACATTCCGACTCCTCGCACTTACGCTGAGGCAGTGTCAGGGCCTTGGGCCTCTCAGTGGAGAGCTGCCATGGACGCAGAGATGGCCTCCTACAGATCCACAGGCACCTACGTCGATGAGGTTCCCCCCCCTGGGGCGAACGTAGTCGACGGCATGTGGATCTACAGGGTGAAGCGGCCACCGGGATCTCCCCCGGTCTTCAAGGCGCGCTACGTGGCTAGAGGTTTCAGTCAGCGCGAGGGAGTTGACTTCTTTCAGACCTTCGCACCTACCCCGAAGATGACCACTCTTCGGGTGTTACTACACGTAGCAGCACAAAAAGACTACGAGTTACACTCTCTCGACTTCTCCACTGCTTTCCTTCAGGGCAGCCTACACGAGGAGGTCTGGTTGCGTCGTCCCTCGGCCTTCACTGGCACCTTCCCTCCTGGGACCCAGTGGAGGCTGAGGCGACCTGTTTACGGTCTTCGCCAGGCCCCTCGTGAGTGGCACGACACTCTGCGTTCTACCCTCTCTGACCTTGGGTTCCAGCCGTCTTCTGCCGACCCGTCGCTGTTCGTTCGTCGTGGCTCCACACCGTTCTTTGTTTTGGTCTACGTCGACGACCTCGTTTTCGCCACTTCGGACAGGGTTGCTTTGGCAGACGTGAAGTCCGAACTGCAGAAGAGACACACGTGCACTGATCTTGGTGAGCTGCGCCACTACCTTGGCCTGCAGATCACCAGGGACAGAGCCGCTCGCACCATTACACTCTCACAGTCACACATGGTGCAGCAGGTCCTTCAGCGGTTCGGGCTTCAGCACTCCACCGTACAGCGCACACCTCTAGCTGTTGACCACAGACTCACTGGTCCCTTTCCTGACGAGCCGTTTGAGCCTAGTGGTCCCTACGCAGAGCTTGTGGGTTGCCTCATGTACCTGATGACTTGTACTCGCCCGGACCTCGCCTTCCCTCTCAGCATCCTTGCGCGCTTTGTTGCGCCAGGGAGACACCGTCCTGTTCACTGGACGGCAGCTGTGAGGGTGGCGAAGTACCTAGCGACTACATCAGGCGTGGGGCTAGTTCTTGGAGGGCAGCAGTCTGTCGTACTCACTGGTCACTGTGACTCCTCTTACGCTGACGACGCTGAGACTCACAGGTCTACTCAGGGGTACTGTTTCAGTTTGGGTTCTGGAGCTGTTTCCTGGCGTTCCACGCGCTCCTCTTCTGTCTCGACCTCTACAGCTAAGGCTGAGATTTACGCTGGTGCCATGGCGGCACAGGAGTTACGGTGGTTGACCTTCTTGCTCGCCGACCTTGGTGAGCGGCCGAGCTCTGCACCGACCTTGCTTACTGACAACAAGGCGTCGATCCTCCTCTGTCGTGAGCCGCGACTGGAGAGCAGAGTGAAGCACATTCACGTCAGGTACTTTCTTCTGCGAGAGTTGCAGAGGCGTGGACAGGCTCGCTTCGAGTTTGTAGAGTCCGAGGCCAACACTGCAGACATCTTCACCAAGGCGCTTCCGCCTTGTGACCACCAGAGGTGTTGTGTGCAGTTAGGCCTTGTTGACACAGGTTCTAGTCATGCGTAGACTTGAGTTTATTGCCTGCTTCGTCTGTACACTTACTATATATACTTGTGATCTCTTGGACTGGCCTTGTGGCCACTGTTGCTTGTGCTCAGAGTGTGTGGTGACGTTGTGATCCACCCTGAGCTTTGTTTTCTTTTGGACTGGTCTTGTGACCGTACTCTTTTTGTTTTTGCTAGACACCCCTCACTTAGGCTATGGGGGTGTGTCAAATGTTGTAGCCTGTAGTGAGGTTTGTCTTAGGGGGTACAGAAGTTAGGGTTTGTCATATGTACCCAAACCAACATCAATGCAACATCCATTCCTCATTCTGACACATAACACCCACCCCGCACAAGCTACCCGGGGGTGTACTATTATGGGGGGGTGTTTTGTCCGGGAGTATACGGTAGGTTCGGTGTTGTGCGGGAGGTCTGGTTCCGAACGTTGGGAAGTTCGGAAACCAAAGGCAGCTTGTCGCCCTGACACCGTGGCAACACGTCAGTAAAATCTAAGGTGTATCTACAGTGTCCGCGCAAAGGTTAGAGAAACTAGACCAGGCCACCGGACCTCAATGGCCAACATGAACGACCCAAAAATCCCTCCACACATCCAACTCACTCAGGTTTATGGCCCTGGGTCACCCCTCGGTCAGGCCTCCCGCGGACGGAAAATCTGAAAAAAAAAAGTTGAGGACGTTGCACTGGGCTGCTGTTCGTGTGTTCGCGGGGCCTTTTGCTGGCGATGCACATGCTTAAAAATACCCCCAATCCGGACAGGAGGGCACTTGGGGGACGCAGGGTTTACCCCCCACGCTGCCCGAAATGGAAGTCTCAATTAGGCGGAAGATGGGCACTCACGTTGAAAAGATGAGCAACCATCTTCTGGCCTTCCCTTCTTGTGATTGGTCGTTGTCTGACTTCTGGGCCCACGTCAGGCTTGGGGCTGGGCGAGGGGTTCGGAGTTGTGTGGGGTGGGTAGCTCGGAATGAAGTCTTGTCGCACGAGGGTCGCAGGCGATTTTGGTGGTGCCGAACCACTCTCAACGGCCAACATGAACACTTTTCAGGCTCCCAACGGCCAAGATGACCTGTTTTTTGTGCTCCCGAAGTGCTGCCGAACAGGGCTATTGCCTGCATTGCGAGCCAATGTCCTCCACTCAACGAAACCATGGGGGTCATCTGGCTAGGGAAAATTCGCACATTCAAATTACAGTTCTATAAGTGCACGGTGTTGTCGGTTTTTATACGTTCCAAACCGGTGGAGGCCTCCAGCTTCTGCCCACCGGTGATAAACAAGTCGCACTTAGGGCGTGTATTCTTAGCGGGATAGGCTCGAAAACGAGCTCGAACTTTGGATGGTAATTTATTTCGTTAATCTCGCCATGCTGTGTTGCGAATTTCGTTAAAACAAGTAAGAAAGATGGAACCAAACATGGACACTGAACTGGAGTCTAGTTTCCGTTCGAACATGAGCTCGCGCATTCATGCAAACGTGTGTCCTGCCCACGTTTGCAGCTGCAGCGAAACTGGCGACACTGACGAAAACCATCGTGCGCGCTATCGAATCATACGCAGCTTTCACGGTGCGCCATCGATTCAGACGTGGCGCACGGTCAAGATGGCAAACAGGGTAACCTACGAGTCGTATGCGTGATGCGAGCTAGGCTGTCAAAGTCGACTTTTGATGGTCGACCCTTCGATGTGACATGTGATTGCCTTGAAAGGTGACTCGCTGCTGGACCATGGGCGGTTGTAAAATTCGACTACAGCTCGAACCAAGTTCAAAGTGAGAAAAGTCGAGTTTAAAAATCAAACTTTACAAAAGTTGCCGAAGTATACACGCCCTTATCATCAGGCGCATTTGCTGGGCACCCCTGGCCCCCAGACCCGGACTTTGTCCCCCCGCCAAGCCAGAGCGCGGCACCACTATGTCCCCTGTCTTGGCAAAAACGGTGCATGTTTCTGAAAAAATGACTCTCCTTCCCTCACTATAGACAGCAACAGCAGCAGAAGGCGTTGATTTGGACAATTCAGGGATGAAATGAGATGGGATGGGATAAGATGAGATGGGATTGGAGTTGTAGCGAGGGGAACGCATGGACGGAAATTTCCGTTGACCATCTTAGTAGCTTACATACCACTTTGCTGGCAGTGGTTGCAGCAACCACATTGGCTGTTCGTAGGGGAAGGCTGAAAATGTGACATTATCCATTATCCAGTTACTAGCGAGCGACTCGCTGCTGCTTTTCGACCCTGTTCTCCAGTGGAATTAGGCTGGTGTGGTGTCGCACGGAGTGTGTATCAGGTGGAGTCTTGCACGATTAAATTAGATAGGCGACTTGTTTCCGAGTCTGCCCATTGATACCTCCGTTTACCGTACGCGACAATCTTAGTCTAGTTCCTCCCTCGTCCCTTTCTTGGTTGTCCTGCCGTCCGTCCTACCACGCGGAAACTTTTTCGACTCGGGTGGAAAATTGAGACTAATGGTCCAGCTTTTCGCGCAGCCTCGCGCGCCGCGCCTTCACGTCCACCCATTTAGCCATGTCCATGCACCACGTCTCATGTATTAACACAACCGTTCTCACACTAGCATTATAACCACGCTGCAGAATAGCCTACTCTCCTCCTCAATTTATCTCCAGAGCTTTCCGTATTAGCTCAAGAAACGTCTCAAGACTACGAAAAGGGCTTTGATCTCAGTTCCTCCGCGTTGCTCCTATCGTACGTTCGGATATGTTTCTTATCCAGAAAGTAATTTCAGCCGCCGCCAGTCCGCCCTTGTTCAAACATCCCCGCTAAAAATATCCCCGCGACTCGTCAGCTCGACGCGATGCGGTTTTTCCGCGGTTACCCGCGTCTCCCCGCCCTCGTCGCAGCTGCAGCGTGCGCGTTGTTGCGCGCATGTCTGCTCCGCTCGCTCCTCTCGGCTCACTTCTCCCCCCTCCTCATGGTTGCCGCCACGACCTGGGCTACCTCCCAATGTGAGCAACTAAAAGAGATCGGAATGGGAAGGGGGAAAGTGGTGGGGGAAATGGGAGGGGGATCGGGATGTGTGGGGGGAGAAACGATGGGAAACAGTTACCTGTTATAGCGGGTACTCGTACGTTGTCAACCATCATTACTTTAAAAGCCGAGTACGAAACTATTACTTTTTTCACAACAAAATTTGCATACAATTAGCTTCATCTGTTAGTGCTGACAATCTTCGAAGACCCTCTGGATCCAAAAAGGTCACTAATGGACACACATTACTCGCCCGAACTGCATGGACTCAGTCAGATACAAAGCAGGCCTGGGCGGGCCACAGAGATGCCTTGATTGTCAGGTTGAGTTTGCCTTTCTACGGTCCTCGCTCGCTGTGCTGTGCATGATGCAGTGCCGACGCTGCAGGAGTGCCAGAAGGTGTGGAAGCAGAATTTCACCGACTGGGCTGCTGGGTCGGACTGCAACAACGCATCGCACCTCACGTGCGACGACAACGGCATGGTCACGTCCATGTGAGTATCCGTGGCATGGCAGGGGTTTGGAGTTGGATTAGGACGGGGGAAGCGCTCTTGCTAGATAGAATGGTCCCTGCCGTATGACGTGTTTTTCCTTCTTCTGTCCTCCTCCCATCCTCTTCCCCATCGCCAACTCGTTTTTGCTCGCTCTCCGCCCACCGATGCTTTCCCTCAATTCCATTCACCCTATTTTTCACTTCTCGTCCTTCCATCCTCCCATAATCCGCCCCTTAACATTCCCTCCCTCACCCCATGCCATACGCATGATAGTTCTCTTGTGATAGTCCTCTGCTTGTTGTGTCCGAGACTCTGTGCGCTGTTGTTTGTGGGTGTGTGTTGTGTGGGCGCACAGGAGATTTCCGGAAGGATACTTCCTTGGCGGCCCTCTGCCAGCCTCCATTGGGAGACTCGATCAAATCAACGACCTGTGAGTGCAATGCGTGGCACTGCCACTGGAAATGCCGCATCATCCATCATCCATCATCCATTTTCATGTTTTGCATCGTCGCTGTCTGCTTGTCTTGTCTGCACACAACAATTTATGAACTTCGTGACTGAGGTTGTTTTTACAGAGGGGCTATACATACAGACTACACACACGCCCTTCCATTTTCTTGTCTTGTTTGTAAAACTTTTGACCACACCACCCACCCCGTCAGGCCACTCTCAAATCTATCCGTAACTCCTTGCTTGCACGTGATCTCTCTTCTTCCTTTCTAGCTCGTCAGTTTCACACTCGCTGCAGCCTAACATCTCATTTCATTCCAACTGCCATCGCCTCTCTCTATACGTGCCACTTCCCTATCACTGCCATGTCCGTTGGAACCTTCCCGCCTGCCCTCCTTCTCCCCTTCCCCCTGTGGCCCCATCAGCTTTCTCACTGGTGCGAACCTCACAGGCACCATTCCCACCACCATAGGCCTGCTTGTGCGCCTTAAGTCCCTGTACGTGTGCAGTCCTCCCATGATTTGTTGAATTGTTTTTTTTTTTTTTTTTTTAATTGATTGAGAAGGATCAGGTGTTGTTTATGAGTGCCGTTGCTCCAACCCAGCGCTTTCCTCTCCCCTCTGGCACGTGCCGCTCCTGTGGTGAACTGTGGTGCCGCGTGCGTCAGTTGCACATCAGTTCATAGTGCTTGCTTGATTCATTCATCTCACCTTCCCTGCCTCCTTGGTTGCTTCCATGACACACACACGCTCTCTCTCTCTCTCTCTCTCTCTCTCTCTCTCTCTCTCTCTCTCTCTCTCTCTCTCTCTCTCTCTCTCTCTCTCTCCTCTTTGGCTGTCTGTTTGTTGTTTCTTTGCGTGTTCGTTTGTACAGCCAGCTGAACGACAACAATTTTACAGGATCCATACCACCCACCATAACCCGCCTCACTGGCCTAATATACCTGTACATCTCGCCTCATCTTTCCACCAACCTCCCACGCCACCACACCACCACACACACTCTGCATGCTCTTCATGTCGTATCTTCCCACCGCCCAAAGGGACTATATTCTCCTTTCCTGTACGATCGAACCAATGAACACAACAGAATGTTCCTCCTGACCTTCACTCATTGCAGCTATTTTCTTGCTCTCTACTCCTCACTTTCAGGCTGAGCGTTTTAGTCCCCCAACGCTATTCGTGTGCTGTTTCTTCCGTCCGCCCTCTGCCTCTATCCCCTTTTTGTCACCCCCTCCCCCTCTACCCCATGTCGCCCTTATCTCTCTCCATCTCTCCCACCTGGTTCCCCCGTCCCTCCATCTCCAGTCACCTCTGTTCCCACACTCTGCTGTTCTGTATCAATCTTTTTGCATCTCCCTCCTCTCACCTTGCCTGCCCCCCT